TCGGGCAGGGGAAGACGGGCCCAGGGAGACTTTAGAGGGAGGGCTGAGCTGCAGTCTCTGCCCTGCTCCCCCTCCCGACACACCAGGGGTGCAAGGAATCCAAGCAGGTGTCAAAGACGCAAACAAAGGTGATGCAAGAACAATGCCGAGGCACCTCAGGAGGCTAAGCTGGACAAAACCCATCTCTGGCCACCATTGTCTAGCTTGCAGCTGGACCACCTGGAAAATCTGAGAGCAATTAGGAGTGAGAAAAACACGGGGGGAGGGCACTGAGGAGGGGAGCGTGGAGCCCCCAGACTATCATCGGCTGGGAATCCCAAAGGGAGCAGGTCTGGGGACCAGAAGGCAAGGAAAACAGTGTAACCCAGTGGGGGCGGCACCCACCTAGACACACACACGCACACATGCACGCATATACACACACGCGCGCGCATGCGCGCACCATCACATCTGCTACACATCCATGACAAAGTTCAGGAATTGACAAAGGGACTAGAAAACAGATCTTTAAATGCAAAAAGTAGGTAAATTCTAATTATTTTCCAAGATCCGTGTGAACATTTAACAAGTGAATTTTGAACAGGGTAAGTACATTTTAAAATTCTCATTCTTTTTTTTTTTTTAATCAACAGCTAGCAAAGATGGGCTCACACTCTTTTCCAAGGCTGACATATCATGTCCTTGACTCCCTGGCCACACATCTTACATTCCCATAATACGCTGTGTTACCCATATTCAAACACCCTAACCTCCCCAAAGTATCAGCCTTTGTCTAAGACAGAGGGAGAGACAGTCTCACCGTATGAAACATTCTGTACACAGTCGCTGGGCTGGGGGTTGAGCCAGAATTTCAGCACAAGCTCCAGATGGCTGTGAAATACATGCACGTGAGCCCTCCCAGCCGAGTGGGGTCTGCAGCCCGCAGGGGATCCGACCCGGGCAGGGGCCTGTGTCCCTCCCTCTGCCTGAAACACACTCTCGCCAGGTCTCTGCACATGCCCAAAGCCTTGTGGCCCATCTCTCTCTCAAGCCAGATAGTCGCCACCTCTTCTGAATGTCCCTGTGACTGACCCCACGTCCAGGTCTGTTTCCAGAAGCTCACAGGCCAGAACGAGATCCTGCCCCACCTCATAACAAACACCATGTTGAAGTGCGTTCTCATCCCACACTGTGTGCGATGTTTTCCTGTAAAATGTCTGAAAGGAGTTTTGGAATTTTGCTCTGAAATTCTCATTTTACTTAGAAATTACTTACGCCCTTTTGTAATCGCTGTTTATACTTGACAACTCCCGAGATATAGCAGAGCCTATAAGTTGTTTTTATTTTATTTATTTTATTTTTTGAATCAGAGTTTCACTCTGTCACCTGGGCTGGGGTGCAGCGGCACTTTCATGGCCACCGCAGCCTCGACCTGCTGAGCTCAGGTGATCCTTCCGCCTCAGCCTTCCAAGTAGCTGGAACTACAGGTGTGTGCCACCACGCCCAGCTAAATTTGTTATTTACTAGAGATGAGGTCTCACCAAATCACCCAGGCTGGTCTCAAACCCCTGGACTCAGGCAATCCTCTCACCTCAGCCTCCCAAAGTGCTGGGATTACGGGTATGAACCACCGTGCCCAGCTGTACATTGTTTTTAGACATGATAAAAACTCATCATGCTTACAAAGCTTAATCATTCTTAAGACTGATATGCATTTTATAGAGATTTAACAGTTATTAATTTAGATTTGCAAGGATTTCCTACTCCTTAATTTTTGGATCCTAAGAATATGTTTTCTTCAAGTCTTGAAGAATGTTATAAGTCCTTGAAAATCTAGTAGATGCCTGGGCCTAAACTGTCCGGATAGACAAGTCCTGCACACTCCTCAGCCCTGTGCGGCGATTATGCACAGACCTGCTGTTAACCTGGTCCCTGTCCCTTGGACTCGCCTTTTTTTTCTTTAAAGTATTTTAGAGTCATAATAGTATTAATATATTGTATAAAATTAGTTTGCCTCATTTAAAAGTAATTGAATTAAATAAGTGATTTTAAAATAAAAACAGCTGGGCTCGGTGGCTCAGCCTGTAATCTCGCACCTTGGGAGGCTGAGGTGAGTGGATTGCCTGAGCCCGCGGGTTCGAGA